GGTCACGTGATCAAAATTCAGATGCTTGGCAACTGACTTGTATTTATTATGGTTGCAATGTTCTGGTGTCATGTGATCCCTTTTGCCATTTTCTGACAAGCAAAGTCAAAGGGGAAGTCAGATTCACTTAATAACCATATTACTAATATAATTACTGCAGCAATTAACTTATCTCTGGCAAGAAATGTTGTAAAATGGGGCAAAAGTCACTTAATCGCCTTGCCTAGCAACAGAAATTTTGGGTTCGATTGTGGTCGTAATTTGAGGACTACCTGAATTAGAGACTTCCAAGGAATGCCAAACATGCAGACTAGACTGGTTGTTGTTGTTTTTTAAATTAAACTGCTTCTATATCATTTCCAAAGAGAATCATAGATGTGCCCAATAAATCAGTATTTCTCAATCATGACAACTTTAAGATGTGTGTTGAATTCCCAGAATTCCCCCATGCTGGGTAGGGAATTCTGGAGTTGAAATCCACACCTCTTATATGTTGTCAAGGTTCAGAAACACTGCATAAGCCATCAGAAGTCAAGTGTGATACAAAGAAGTCATTCTTTTTGTGTTAGCTTTTCTTTTTTTCCCCCCTGTCCACCGTTCTCACTCTTTCTTTCCCCTTCAGGTGTGAATCGCCATTTTCATATGATCTGTATCCGAGATAAATTTAGTCAGAATATTGGGAGGCAAATTTCTTCCAAAGTTATCTGGGATCACTTGAGCACGATGTATGACATGCAGGCACTGGTAAGTGTTGACAGGTGAACAACATAGGTCGGTGCCTCTGCTGACTTACAGCAGTGAGGGCTGGCCATAGAAAGTGCCTGCTCTGCAACCCAAGCCAGGTGGAGAAATGTTGATTGTTTGTCCTTTCAGAGGGGAAACCATGGCTGGGTGGTCCTTTCTATCCCCCATGCTCCATTTTGCATCAGAGCTGCAGTTGCGTGCAGACAAAAAGATTCCACATGGGCTATTTTTCAGTCTTTGGAACTCCTGACTCCTGAGGCTGATCATAATATCAAAGAAATCATGTTGGGTGCAGAGCACCCTCTTGGAAATAACATGCTAAAATCAGTAATGGTGAACCTTTTCGGCTCAGGGTGTCAAAAATTCAGAGAATGCCAAACTTGACTCTGTTGACATGATAACCCGTCCAAGGAAAGAAAAACAATTATTTTTTAAAAAAGATTACAGCCCAAATATGTGTGGTGCTATATATTATGTAAATAAATGTCAAATAATTACAAAAATGAAATACTAGTAAAACAAACTCATTTTCAGAAGCTCCGAAGGCTGAATAAGTTCAGATCCCATTCTTGCCCAGCCTCCAAAAGTCACTAGAGAACTGGATGTACTTTCAAGAATAATGGGGTGTTGGTAAACGCTGGTGTGTCACCCAAAACATGTCACCTTTTGAGGTGCGTGCGATAGATTCGCCATCTTTGTGCTAGATGTTAAACACAGGTGTAAGAACCAGTGCAGTTCAGGGGTTGAACTCCAGATGGGGAGAGCCAGATTGCAGTCCTCCCTTTGGATCACTTGGGGCTAGTCACTAGATTGGGAAAACATCTGTCTTTCCACCGTTATTGGACAAAGAGGGTAGATTATGGCCTCAACCTTCAATAAAGAGACCTTTATCCTACAGTGAATTGATTTGGGTTGATACAATATATAATGTTAAGTTTTATATCATGCACCCATTTATCCTTTCATCTTGTCCTCCGTTATTAAATATCTTTCCTGGAATACCATATTATGCCTGCAGAAAGCTCCGTAGGTATTGTAATATTGTGATCAGATAAAAAAGTGCGGAAATTGAGAACTGAAAAGACATCACAAGATCTAAAATTCATCTGAGAAGGCAATGCTTTTCGTTCTAGTTAATACTTTTCTTGTCCACATGCCATATATCTGTAGCACCCATTTAGGGATTATATGTGTGAGAAAGATATACAAATTGGAACGATTGCTGTTTATTGTATATTTTCATTTTTAAAGGAAATCTTACTTGTTGATGTTCAGTATCATAAGCAACAATAATACCATGCAGAATAATTCAATTTTGTACAGCATGATTTATGGTAGCATACAGTGCAGTCATAAAATAAAAACGAATACATAAGAGAATAATGTAAATGCTGCATCAAACATCAACACATACAAGCTTTAAAAACCAACTACTGAGAAGTGTTGATCTTATGTACTAAACGAGTTTAGAGGTCAGAAAGAAAAAAAAGGAAGGGCTAGAAACAAAATAGGAGCTCTTTCAAAATATTATGCCCTAATTGCAAAATGTTGTGTATGTTTATTTGGAAAAAAACTCAAGGTTGGCATAATCAGTTTAATTTTGTTTTTCTTTTTAAGCATGAGTCTGAGATTCTTCCTTTCCCCAACTCAGAAAAAAACTTCATCCTCCCTGAAGAAATTATTCAAGAAGTAAAAGAAGGTGAGACATTTGGATGTATGGTACATTTCTTGCAAACAAAATCTTATAGTAAAAGTCTGTATAAAATTGCAGCCTAAGCCATTACACTAGACGATATACTGATATAGTCCTCAAACGGCCAGAATTCGGCATGAGGTAGTCCTCAACTTACAACCATAATTTTTAAAGCAAGCTGTGATGTCTTTTTGAAAGTTATCCAAAAATAGCACCGGTTTACAAGGATACCGCAGCTTGCTTTTGGAAGCTGTTTTCTGCTATCCTCCAAATTGGCATCCCAATGATAGCACAGGTAAAGCTTCCAAACCAAGATGAAGTGGCTTCCTAAACCTATGTTGTTTCCAGAAAATTTGGAAACCTGATCTAGGTTTGGAGGAGCCTTCCAGATGGATGGACTTCAGTTGCCAGAATTTTTAGCAGTGGCCATGCCGGGGTTATAAGGAATGCTACTAAATTCTTTCCTGAAAGCGGAGCATAGCTCACGTTTTCATGAAGGAAGAAAGCAAATCTCTATCTTAGAGGATGCTATTCATTTTTGGTGGAAATGGACTGGTTACAATGAATCCTATGTTCCCTTCAATGCTTTTTGGATAGAAAAATATATTTTGAAAACTTGTGAAATGGGGAAAGGCAACAACTTCAAGAGCACGGAGAAATTTGCCAAAATGATAAAATTTGGATTTAAGTCATGATGTCATCCATTTTAGAGATGGAATAGGAATGTCCTCTCTTTTGCTCCAAACAAAAGAGGTTTTAGGACCGTATCAGTTGAATGTAAACTGAAAAAAATATGCATAATGTTTTGTACCATTTGCTGCCCTGAAATTATTGCTCATTTCCTGCTTCTTTGTTTTGGAGGCTGTCAGTTTGGTTTGGTTTTTTTCCCTAACCCGTACTTCCAAAAAAAAAAAAATCCTACTTCTAGATGATTTGGTGGCAGCAGGAGCTGGCAGTGAAAAATCCTGTTGCCCCAAAACTCACTTGGGTGACCTTCTCAAGATCAGCTGAAGGAAGAAAGACATTGAAATTCCCTATTTGCCCACTGATCTGCTTCTCATTCTTCACATAGGTAAAGTGATGATTGAAGACGATGTGAAGGAAGAAATAAAAGAAGAGATGGAAGCGCACTCAGCCGCCGAAGAAGGTATTTTGATATGTAAAAGACAAGTCTTCAGTAAGAAAAGGATTGGCCCTTATTAGATCTCACATGTGCAGGTCATGAAAAAATTGTTTTAGAAGGTAAACTGTTTTAGAAGAGTTGAAAGAGAACGTGCATTGTTAAGAGGTGGGAAACTGCATGTTGCAATGCATTTCAACCTTGGCAACATAACAAGAGATTAGACAACCATTTGTCTGCAATGATACAGGGCAGAGGTCCCCAAACTTGGCAACTTTAAGACTTGTAGACTTCAACTCCCAGAATTCTCCTAGCAGCATAGCTGGCAGCATAGCAGGCTGGAGAATTCTGGGAGTTGAAGTCCACCAGTCTTAAAGTTGCCAAGTTTGGGGACCCCTGATATAGGGTGTCCTGCATGAGCAGTGGGTTGAACTCCAAAGTCCCTTCCAACTCTGTTAATTCTGTTGAACTTAAGATATGTGGACTTCAACTCCCAGAATTCCTCAAAACTCTTATTCATGAGATCTCATTATAGAGTCCACGTTCCAATGGTCAGTCTTCCTCCGAAGTCATGTGACCAAACATCAGACACTCAACAGCAGGGCTGCATTTATGACAATGTCCTGCAGTCATGGCCACATTTTAGGGCGGTTTTGCTGAAAACCAGCATTCCCTGTTTTCAGCAAAAGCCATGTCCATGGCACATCATTGGTTTGCTTAACGACCACGATGATTTGCTTAACAACTGCCACCAAAGTGGTGAAACTGGGTCAGTCACATGATCGAACCATTCTCCGAATCATTTCCAGATACGACCGTAATCGGCCAGCTCCATTATATTTGTATCTTGAGGTCCACTTCTAGTTATTAAGTAGAAAACTGACCATTTAGGTCCATGAAGAATCGGATAAAATCAGATGGGTGGAAATTGATCAAGGAGAGAAACAACCTGGAATTAAGGAGAAACTGAACTGACAGTGAGGACAATTAACCGGAGGAACAGCTTCCCTTCAGACGTTGTAGAGTCTTCATCACTGGAGGTTTTTAAGAAGAGACTGGACATCCACCTGTTTGAAATGATATAGGGCCGTGATGGTGAACTTATGGCAAACGTGCCATAGGTGGCACCCAGAGCCATTTGTGCGGACACGCGGAGCCCCATCAAAATTTACCTGTGCGTGTGCGCACCTCCCAGCTGATTTTCGGCCCGTTTGAAGCCGTTTTCGCCCTCCTGGAGGCTCAAGGGAAGCTCGGCAGCCCAGAGGCCCTCCGGAGGCTGAAAACAGGCACTTCCAGACGGTATTTCTGGTATTTCCAGACGGCCCGTTTTTCAGCCTCCCGAGACTGCAGAGGCTTCCCTCAAGCCTCCGGGAGGGCGAAAACGGCCTCAACTGGCCCCCGGAAATCAGCTGGGAGGCCACGCGCATGCGCAGTGCAGGTAAGGGGACGGGTGGGGGTGTTGCGTGTGCATGCGCGGGGGGGCGGGGCGCATTGCATTGTGAGTGCCAGCACACCACAACAAAAAGGTTCGCCATCACTGTTATAGGGTCTCCTGCTATAGGGTTGGACTAGAAGACCCCCCCCCCCAGGGTCCCTTCCAGCTGTATTCTGATTGATTGGTTGAAATGGTGGATAGAATGGCCCACTTTTAAGCCACAGATAGATTTTGTTAATGTATATTTCTTATCAAAAGTACAATCGCACGTGGAAAGAAATGCATCTACCGTATTTGCCG